ATCAGCCTGACAAGGTAGACCGCCATAGTAAGTAATTGTAGCTTAGTTCTCCCTAAATCTAGAAGCGTCGCCATTGCCAGGGCGATGCTGCTAAGAGAGAAAGATAGGCTTCCTCCAAAAAGTTCTAAGTTTATCCCTGGGACTTTCTAGAGGCACATAGCGAATTTTGGCGAACTGCAGTGGCATGGTCAAGATCACTAGTAGGAGGAAGACCGAATTTAAACCTAAGATTCATATACTTGAGTTTTGACTTGTATATTAGTTTAGTATTTCCGAGGACAGAAATGTTTTAAGGGGGATAGATTGTAACGCCCAGAATATTAGTTACTATTATGGAGTTTGACTATATTTCCGTAAATATTAAGTTTTCTAGTTTGATGCATTTATTATTATTAATTGCATTAAATTGAATAATTAGTATTAAAGTCTAAGCCATGGAGAATTTATTCGATCTTAATTATTAAAGTCGGATTTATCTCGCCCAAGTATCGGTTATATTTTTGAAACCGAGCCTTGGAGTAATTGAGATTTTATTAAAGCTAATCGAAGCCGAATAATTTATTTGTTCGAGCCCAATCAATTTCGAGCGAATCCAATTATTTTAGCCGGCCCATTTAAGTTAAATCGGGCCTAAGTCCAATTTTATTTTAGTCCATTTTAAAAATCGAACATATAGTCGATTTTAATCCGAGCCCATTATTATTCTAGTAAAATTGACCGACTAATTTAATTAGTCAGAGTTCGACTAATTTATTAACGGAACATTTAATTTCCTAGTCCATATCCTTTTCAAATCGAGCCAAAGTGTAGGATTTTATAAGCCTGGTTGGTTTAGACACTAAGGCCCGATTTTGGCCTAGTAAGAATAGAAACCCTAGTATTACAACACTCTATAAATAGAACATGCTCCCCTTTTTCCAACATCTTCTTTTCACCACAACACCAAAATTTAATGTTACTATTCATCATCTTCAACCTCTTTTAAATAAAACTCAAGAGCAAAGCTTGTGTACATGGCTTAAGCTTCATCAACTTCCTATTTCCGGCAAGAATCCGGCGACCCCGCTCCGGTGAGCCGCGCCCACACCAAGCTCGCGCCGGCAGCTCCTCACTGCGACCCTCAAGCCATTTCTAGCTCCAACCCGCGCACCACAACTTCAGCTCGAGCTCGCGACGGTCCTGTTCACGCGAGCTGCCATTCAGCCCTGCCCGACGTCCGTACACCGGCGACCACGAACCATCGGCGAGCCATACACACACAAGCACCTCCGGCGACCCCGTTTCACGTCGTTCCAGCCGAGTTCAGGCATTTCCCGAACAGCCTCCGTGAGTCCAGTCGCCAGCACCTCGTTTCCACGCCAACCAACCCGATTCCGGCGAGAACTCGCCGGAAAACAGCTCCTCCGAGCTCCAGCTGCACCACCACGACCCCAGCTGCAGTCCTCCGCGACCAAACACGTTCAGGCCGGTCCTAGCAGCTCCTCAGCCCCAGATCCACGGCCAACAACCAAAACCCCGGTCCGATTTGCTTCCTTGACCCGTTTTCTAGCCCGATCTACTCTCATTTTATCCGATTGGAGCCGTTTTAAGGTATAATAGCATAAACCCGACTCTGATGACTTAGATATGATATTTGATATGATAAAATATGTGAATTGAATAATTTGAGCGATTTTGAATAAATCGGAAATTTCGGGCTTGAAGCGATTATTTTGGGACTTTTTAAAAAAATGCGATAAAATGACGAAATAAATTTTATAAAATTTGTTGCATTGTCTTGAGGCTTAGGTGCGAATTTGAGAATTTTTTAGGTTCGTTTGATAGACGAACGAGATTTTTGAAATGATTGACCTGTTGAAGCGATTGTTAGTTGAATGAGTAAGGAGTTGACTTTTGACCCACTATTTTGACCATGGTCCATGTATGTGTTGAGGATGGTGTGTTTCAAATTTGGTAATTTTCGGACACTGTTTGACCTAGATTAAAAATCGGGACTTTAGCCGTTGAAATGCGATAATTGTATAAATTAGTCGGTTGTGATTTTTGTTGCAGTGGTTGGATGTAAAATCCTTATAAATCACCTAGAAATAATGATTTAAGTATCGGCTTTAAATGGGTTAGAATTTTTGAGAATCAAAAACCCTAGTTTTATCTGGTTCCGATAACCGGGTATTATTTCGAATCCGAGTTTAACCGACCGAACCCTAGTACCGTTTAAATAATTTTAGACGTCGTATCATTAATTCTTAACGCGTATCGCTGTTCCTTACACGTGATCGACTCTCGTCCGACAGTTGGAGCTGAACCACCGAGTGCGTGCCCGTGCACCGAGTCCGAGTCAAATCACCGAGTACGTGCCTGTGCACCAAGTCCATTCGACCGACCGTCTACACGCTGTATCCGTTAGTTGTGGTCCAAGCACGCCCCTGCATCAGTGACGGTGGCACT